TATATTCCAGTCACTGTTCCAGGTGCTGAGTACATGGCAGAGAAAATATAGACAATGTCCCTGAGGCCATAGAACTTAAATTTGATTAGAAAAAAAGATCTAAGGGTTTTAACTAATCACAAGCTTACTGTGAGTCACCAAGCTAATATAACAACAACAACAGCAGAAGAAGAAACAAATCCTAACCTGATTTTACCTGCACTAGGAGAGCTTTGTTCAGTGGCCATATCGGAGCATGCCTCGTGTTGCCCTATGCTGTTCGGCTGACATCTGTAGTGTGGAGCTAGCCATAGGTCCCTCGTATCAAGAGGAGCTTTGGCAAACCTAATAACGTGTTTAGAGGAATCTGGTCAGGCCTACAAGGGGTGTGATAATGATTGAAGGAATTACATATGTTTGGCCTGGAGGCCCAATGGAAAGAGGAGATATGAGAGCCAAGGATTGAAAGAGCTGTCTGTGCAAGACTTGATCATCCGGGTCCTGAACCCCCAGGTAGAAATTACAAGGGAGCAGGAAGAGGCTCAAAGGGGAGCTGCCCCACAAAGGTGTGGGAAGGCCTCCTTCCTTGGGGAAGAGATTTTCCATCCTCAGGGATGGTGCCGAGGAAAATTGTGCTGTCCAAGAGCAAACTAGACTGTCAAGAGATCAGACTAGACTTTGGATCTTATAAACTATAAATGAAGAATTCTATAGCTAATCCCCCATTAACCAGGAAGGCAGTATTGAGGAATACAGGCTTTAGAACCAGATAGAGCTGGATTCCAGGCCTGAAATGGCAAAAGTCACTCACACACTTCAAGCCTCATTCCTTTGCTTGTTAAAGGAGGATGGTAATAGGTCTCACCTCATTCCAGAGGCTGGGATTAAATGAGATCATTTACATAAAGTGCCCAGCCACGCCCTTTGTAAATCATCCATAGATGTTAGCAAATGGTAATTTGAAGTGCTCTCCATTTTATTTGACTATCTTTCAGTTTATTTAGGCAAATCATTTTGTCAAGAGTCTCTAATTCTGTAAACTTCTATTATACTAAAGCAATTATTTAGCAACTTAAACTATAAGGAAGAAGTACTTTAGAGAAATTTGAAATGCTTTGTTCTCTAGAGAAATTAGCAAAAAAATAAAAAATAAAACCCTAACAGTCCAAAAGGGGGTTCTTAAGCGTGCAATTTAAAGGACTTGTGATTGCATCAAGGTGACACTAGGAAGTTATTAATGTATGGAATGGCTGAGCTAGGCTGGGTTATGGCAACCTCAGAGACTCCCTTTCTCCTTGGAGACCCTCATCAGACAACAAAAGTAAAAATCAATCCAGCAAACCGATTTTTATGAGGATGAAATCATTCCAGACCAATTTAATTTCCTTCTGTGACAGAGAGACAGATTTTGGTGACTCAGGGAAGCAATGGATATCAGATACTGTGGCTTCAGCTAAGTCTTAAATTCTAGCCTCCATCATAATCAAATCTAAAAACTGAATCCAGTTCTGCTGGCTGGTGGAGATGATCTCCAAAAACAAGAACCGGAGGCTCAGGATCACTGTTTAAGTAAGGAAGAGAAGAAAGAAACTCTCTCCTTTGTGAAACTGGCAGAAAAACATGCCCCCTCCCTACCCGCAGTGAGATGCAGAATTCATTCAACAAACATTTACTGTCATGTGACACACTCTCAATCTGGATGGGGCTAAGAGAAATTGAAGTGAGACTTAACATATTAACTGCCATTATGAGTTGTATTTGACACTAGTTTTGAGCCCAGGGCCTCGTGAAGTGTATGTAACTCACACGTCTCTTCACCTTGGGAGCTGTGAGAACTATTTTTCAAGTTGCATGTAAGTCACGCACAGAAAACAATAAAAAATAACAAATTTTTCATTAAATTAGAAAGGTTCATTTTGTTTTTGAAGTTTTTATTCTATTTTCGTAATAAAACACTATGGCCCCAAGGAAAAATTTTTTTTTCTAGTGTGGCAGTCAATGTGTTAAAAGCAGTTATGCTTCAATGGGGCTTTTGGGTAGACGTGGTTATGGAGTTGAGGTGTAGGGGCAGCCACACAACTAATGGAATCTTTGGGCCAGGCCAAGTGTTTCAGTGGAGTAGGGTAAAGTTAGGGGGATTTTTAAAAGAGAAGCTATGGGATCAGAAAGGCACTTCCGAGAATCTAGGTTAAACTGATTCAAGTGGGAAAACATCAATAGCAAGCACTGCAAGGAAGAGAAAAGAAGAAGGGAATCTAGGAAGAGCTGACAGGAATGGAGGGCAGGTGCAGACAGAGTGCCCACTCATTCAGAAAACTGTCATTAAGCCCCAACCGTGTGTCGCACATATGCTGCATGGTGTACTCAGCACAGAAGAGACAAAGATGAATTAGGTCTACTCGCTGCCCTCAAAGGTCCCCAGGATGAGGTAGCCAGGAGAAAAGGTGGCTTCAGTTTGACACTAAAGGGGAGTGACCTGGGTCCCAAAAGAAAGGATTCTTGAGATTGAGGGAATGAGGGTAAGAACTGCGAAGTGGTTGAGGAAGTTTCCACACTGAGACAATTCAACTGAGAGGCTCATTTGCCTTGGATAACTGTCCTCCAGAGACCCTCTCCAGCTCTACAATTCTAGTAATAAAGACATTTTTTGTTGATTTTACAATCTGGACTATCCTGAATCCTGAATCTGGCTCTTTCATTTACCCTCCCCCCATCAGAAAAAGATTGCTGTTAACAGGGAAAAGTGGCATTCTGGCTTCTTGTCACAACACAGCCACCATGGGCCATTGGGTGTCCTCCAGCAGCTTGGTGTTGAATCCATGGGCAAAGCACTAGCAGAGGGTGGATGAGGTGGGGGGATCAGGGAGGAAGAAAAGTATAAAGAAGTCTGGCTAATCTCCCAGGGTGGCTGAAACCCAGGAGATCTGTAGCTTTCTCAGATGACCCACTCTGACTAAGTATGACCAGTCCCCAGTCTGAAAGATCCATGGGAATCAAGCTACACTTCCAAACCCCTAGGGAATGTCAGTACACTTCAAGGGAAGCCTTAATTCCATCTTGATTTTTGGAAATGTCCCTCTCCCTGAGACTAATAGGGATTTCTAAGGAATTGAAATGACTCTGCCCATAAAAGAGTCTTGCCAATTTCAGGGTGCTGTCCCAGGGCTGAAGGATATAGGTCTTCATGACCAGCTGCCTGGCAGGGCTGCCCCACGTTTGGCAGGGGACCATGACTGAGTGTGCCTGCCCCAGGCCCCATCTGTTGCAGGGACCAGATTTCATGATAGATGGGATATGAGTCAGGATGGCAGAATAATAAATGAATTAAATGTTTGAAAAGATAGGAGAAACATATATGTACATATTTAGCCATCCCATAATAACTCTCACAACCCATAAACATGTGTGCATACACACACACACACCTCATATACTCTCAGTCACCAAGGCAACCATTCCATAAAGCTGTACTTAGGGGGTTTTTTCATGCCAGATCTTTTCACCCTTATTTCCTTGGAGTAGAGCTCTGGCCTTCGACTCTGCTAGAAGTACCACACCTGCTTAGGAAACCCTGTTACGTCTAACATTTACCAGGTCCCTTTAGAAGGCTCACGTCTTATCCTCGTTCTGACACTGAATTCAGCCAACACAACATTTGGTGACTTGCTCAAAGCATCAGCAGCACAAAATAACCAAATTAATTGCCATCGTGAGTCAGAAAAATTAGCGACAAATACGGTGTTATGCCTTGTGCAGCTTTCACAGACAGGTCTCAATTTTTAAAAAAGCAAGTCACAAAGTTCATGTGAAAAGGAGCCAGCTTTGGTCCTAGAAGATGGATAAACCTATTCTCAGGATTACAGTGATAGCTCTTATTGAGGAGTCATGGATTTAGGATTATTAATCTTTTAAAAGTACTTCACATTTCTTTCTTCCTCCATATAATATACATTACGCTTCAAATCTAACTTATTTTCTATTTTAGAATTCATTATTCAAAAATTCCTGCAACATAAAGAGATCAGGAAAAAGTTAAAACATTTTTATCCAAGTATTGATATAACTTTTGACAACATCTATGTAATAAGTAGTGAGGTTTTTTTTCCTTTTAATGTCACCAACATGTCTATGGTCAGTCTGTGGGCACAGTTTTCATCTCTATGCCATAATTATTAGTGTAGGCTTTCAAAAAGAAAAAAATCTTGAGCTGCGACTGGATCAGAAAGTTCTTTGCATCTCCTTCTGTCAGATTTCTGCCGGGTGGGGAATGACCCAGGTATGAGCATTTAATTTATAGTCAAAACCCACTTTTCTGCCCTGCCTCATATAAAGCACTAAGGCACCACGGGTTAGGGAGGGAAGTCTTTTTCTATGGAACAACTGCTCGCAAAGTAAGCTAAAGTGCGGAACTGGCGATGGGGCGGGCGTGCATTTACTTAGCCCTGAACTAGGGTTCTGGTTTTTGAAGCCCACAAGGGGGCTCCTTTCCGAGAGGTAGAAAGGGGAAGCGACAAGGAAGACTCCACCCAGGCAATCCCAGTCAGGCGCCTAGTGTATAAATCGAGGGAGAAAGATGCCGGGTGGCCAGGGGATGGAGAAGTCACCCGACTGGTAGCCACGCAGGTGGCCAGAGGAAGATGGACCAAAGCAGGGCGGAGGCGAACCCGGGCGGATCGGGGGCGTGTGGTGGCTGAGGGACAGGTGTGCGGGGGAGGTGAGCTGTCCTCCCACCCATCCAGCCCTGGCCAGTGAGCAAGCAATGGCAGAGGCAAAGAAGTGATGGGTTTCCCCGAAGCTCTGGAGACTAGCTCAGCCCTCTGCAAGGGGGTCTCATCGACCCCGCTCTCTGGGCTTGGGTCTGTCTAGGTCGAGTCTCTGTCTCTGTCTCTGTCTCTCTGTCTCTATTACCCCCACCCCGCCCCATCAGTTCTTTGGGGGAATGGGCTGCGGGTTGTCCCCGGCGTCCCCAGCCCTCCCGCTCCTGTCGCCGTGGCCCGGGTCAGAGAGCCGGGCTCGCTCACCCGCGTGCAGGCCCGCCTCGGGGCCGCTGTCGGGGCCGGCGGCGCTGGGCGGCGTGTCCGAGTCGGTGTAGGTGAGCCAGGTGGACTCGGTCTCCCGGGTCCAGCTCTCGTAGTAGCGGGGCTCGATGGCATCAGCCCGGCTCCCGCCGCAGCCCATCCTCCCGCGCTGCGGGCGCGCCCGGCGGCCTCTCGGCTTGAGGCTTGGCGGCGGCTCAGCCCCGGCGGCGCAGCCCCGGCCCGCGAGGAGGCGGCGGCAGCGACATTGCGTCCCCGCGCCTGCCCGCGCAGCAGCCGGCGCCGAGCTCCCGCCGCGCCCGCCGCCCCTCCGCCGGGCCCTCTCCCCGCCCGCCGCTCCACTCCGCCTCCAAGGCCCTCCCCTCCCCACCTCTCGGTCCTCAGCTCCCCTCGCCCTCGCAGCTGCCCCCACGCGGGTCCAAGTCCCCGCTCGCCCGCACCCTCCCTTAGTGCGCCGCAGCTGGCCGGGGCACAGGGGCCGCTGCTCCGAAGCGGGAGGACGGCGGCGGGTCCCGCCGGCCCGGATTAACGTTTCCAGACCCTTGCCCATCTACCCATCCATCCACCCATCCACTCGCCCACCCATCCATCCATTCATCCACCCCACTCACCCATCTTTCCTCCCTCCCTTTCCTCCTTTCCCTCCATCCATCCCTCCATCCTGGGGAGAACTGAACCGCTTAGAAAGGGACCCCAAGCTTTCTGGCCACCTGTTCCAAAAGCGATGGAGCTGGGGCTGTTGGGGACAACCCGGTAAAACTGGGGAGGGAGTGTTGCCCCTAAGAATCAAGGAGCAGTCAGAGCCCTTGCCTGTCTTATGTGATCTGGGAAGTAGGGAGTATGGCCTATGATATCGGAGAGAGTTGGGGTAGGCACTCTGTCACTAACACCCCTTTCCAGTTCTGGGACTTCATGATCCTCTGAACTTTGTTCTCCAGAAAGCAAAAGATCACCAGGAACCTGGCAGCATCCCAGACACCCTCTCTGGGTGGGGCTTGGAGGCATGGCGGACTTTCCTTGAAGTCCAGGGGTGGCCTTGACATCCCAGGGCTCCACCGCCCGGTTGTCAACCTTTCTTTCCCTGGGGCACACTCAGGTCTCTCTGTGTAGACCTAGAACTCAGACTTGGGTAGGCCAATGAATTTACCTGTCCCAAGAACCCACAACAGGTGGTACAAGAAGGAAAACACCACTAAAGACAGGGCTAGGAAAGCGGAAGAGTTTGGAAGAGTAAATCCTCAATAACCAGCTCTGCTAGAATATAGTATGGTGTTGAATAAGTATTATATCATATTCATTCATTCAATGTATGTTTACTAAATATGGCAAAACACTGTTTTAGTATACATAATACTCACATAATAATTATGTATATTATCCATTGTATATAGACTGTCGTATATAATGTTTAATAAACATATAAAGGATAGAGAATATAGGTATGGTACTCGTATATCCTATATATCCTATATAATGTATGGAATGTACATTGTCTATAAAATTTAGTATGTAGCATCCAGTAGGTAAGCCAAGTCCAGAGCATTACCTGGCACATAGTAGGCCCTCAATAAATGTCCACTGAATGAATAATAAAGTATCTTTTTGTAATAATTCTATTTGCTTTAATTATCACAATTTGGGCTAAAGAGGATTCAGTTTACGGTAGAGCTGTCAGACATGCCTCTGGAAGGCACCAACCAAAGTCCATGGGCAGAAGGGAGCAGAGACTTGTAGTCCCAAGACTAGGCCTCCTCCTCCCAGGCAGGCCTCTTCCACCTCGTCCCAGCATGTGAGGTGGAGGGGGTGCAGTTATTCAGGAGATGATAGCTTCCCTGGTCCTTTGGAACCCAGATGGCCTGTGCCCCTTTTTTCTTCCCCCCTGAATATTTTGGTTGGAGGAGAACCAGCTGTCAGGAAGAGAGAATGCTCAATATCTGTAATGGAGCCTGTGTTTCTCTCAATTCTATGGCAAAGTGCTCCTTTCATAACCAGCTGCTTTGTCATTTGGGTAATGTCACCACCCAGAGAGCAGTCAAGCCAGAAAGAGTGCCTGAGTTGGAAGGTGCTGGGTGAAAGGTGGTCTTCCTAATAACCTATCTAGCAACGGAAAGTAAACTATTAAACAGAAAGTAAGAGAAATAAACTCACAACACAACTACCTTTTGTTTAACTAAAACACGTGTGGCCTAACTTGTTACCTCTGAGTTCTTTCTCAGCCTTGAAAAAGTTCCTGAGCAGATGGTAGGACTGAGAGCTTCCCCTGCTTCCTCAAGAAGAGACAGTACCAGACCGGGCACGGTAACTCACGCCTGTAATCCTAGCAATCTTGGAGGTCGAGGTGGGCGGATCATTTGAGCTCAGGAGTTAGAGACCAGCCTGAGCAAAATGAGACC